CCCCAAAACCCCAAAACCCCAAAACCCCAAAACCCCATAAAGTAATTCAACAACTGAATATAATTACTATGGCGTTCTTAAAAAGATCAAATCGCAAAAGCTTAGCTGTTATTAAAGAATGGGAAGTCAGCAGCAATGTAAAGGATCAAGGTAAGACTTACAATTTTAGACCTCGTCCTGTTGTAAAGGCTATGCGAATATTAACCTAAACCATAGACCAAGGAAATAGTCAAAACTCAGATCTAAATGAGTCAAGAGTGGGCTTAATCCAAAGGAGAAGAAATACTAAGAGGTCTTAATTAGTAACTTTGCATCAAACTCAAGGTCTGATAGATACGCAGTTGATGAAAATATTCCTATAAAAGCTCTGAACCCCTCATTGTACTCGGTAAGTAATAAAAACAATCATTTTTATTAAAATTATAAAGCTACTATCCTTTCTCGAAATCATAAACAATGTTTGTAGAATAGTTTCATGGTACCCAAACGGAGTACCTTGACTAATCAGTTTCAAGAATTTCGAACTAGAAACAATAAAGCTCCTGGTCCGATTCTTAAATCTATGCCTCGAGGGACATTCATGTCAAGATTTAGTAACATCCCTGATGAGCTTGAACAAGATAATAAAATTAGCAAATAAGGAAAGAATTATGTCATGCATGAGAGATTTTATCGAGAATAAATACACAAACATTATATTTATAATCCTCACTTTTGTTGCTCTCTACTTGGATGACACTAGGATAGGATTCACCAAAAAATCAGCAGATGTATATATAGACACTATAATGTTGTTCTGATTCTTTGCTTTCTCAATTGAATTGGTATTTACCTCTCTAACTAAACAAGACTACGTGTTCTCTTTCTTCTTCTGGCTTGACCTAGTTGCACTTTTCAGCATTCTTTTTGACATATATTATCTCCTGGATGCTCTGGAAGTCACATTCCGATTACCCACTGATGCTACCAATGTTGCCCGAGCTGGAAGAGCAGGCAGAGCTGGCACAAGAGTAGGACGGCTCTTAAAAATAGTCCGAATGATAAGAGTATTCCGAGTAGCCAAGCTCTATAAGCAAACCAAAAGAGCTATAGACGAAAAGCGTAAGATTATCTCTTCGAACAAGCCTGGAGACAAGAAGGTCCATCCAGTTGAGCAAGCTAACAAATTCAAAATCCAAAACACGAGGAGGTTGAAATAAGAGGAACAACATCATTATCAGCAACGAAATGAGGAAGATGAGCTTCATGAAGAAGATCCAGGGGGTCAAACAACTTATTAATTTTGAGGATTTTGAATCGCTGTCTTCTGAAGACCCGCATTTGGCCGAGATGAAAAATATGCCTTTACGCATGCGAACACAAATTCAGTTAATGGCCAAGAAAAATCAGTTTATAAAGAACAATATGAACAGATCGCAGAAGTGGGATAGTGATGAATCTGAGTCAGAATCTTACAGCTTCTCCTCATCAAGTGGAGAAGCTAATTTTAAATCTGTAAGCAAGAATTCTCTGACAAACATGAATTCTCGGAAATCACCTGAACATTTTGCATTAAGAAAAATTTCGTTGAAATAAATCTCCAAAGATGGCTCATAAGAGGAGTCTCAGGAAGGCCAGGAAAGCAAAGTCTCTTATCCAGTCTGAGGTGGAATCTGAAGAGGAAAAAGAGATTCTCCAGATTTTCAAGAGTGGCACACTCCTTGATAAAGGGCCAACTGAATTCAAAAATGATTCAAATTTAAATATTGACATACTTCAAAGTTTGAAAGTTGTTCCCAATGCGATAAGAAAATCAAATATAGTTGAAGCTGTAGAATCTAGTTTACAAAAGAGTGTTAAGAGCAGCTCAAAATCAAGCTTAAAAACATCAAAAATATCTGAGAGAGAAAGTGGCAGCGAGGATACTGATAAATCTTCTAGTGAATTTGACATTAACAAGTCCTTACATACTAGTAAGGATTATTCAACCCAGAAGAAAGAAAGCTCTAGCCAAGGGAGTCTCTCGAGTCTCCTCCAGTCTAGAAATAATATTCCAAGTACCAAATTAGTCAAGATAAATGACAAACGAAAAACGAGTGCTAGCTCAAAAGAGAACAAGAAATTTCAAAACAAAAATGCTCACAAAATCCTGTATATGGATGATAACTTCAGGAACTCAAGCCCTGATATAGATGTAATCAAATAGAAGAGCTTCAGTTGTCAGCTCAGTCATAAGTTTCTCCAGTAAAGCTACTGAAAAGAACCTCAAAGACCTAGAAACAAAAGATGAAATGAAAGAGTCCAAAGTTTCAAAGAAATTCTCAGAACAAACCACCAAAAGAGTGGTGTTTCTAGTACTTTTGGTTGTAATGTCTGAATATATCTTTCAGCTAAACACTTATGTATCCTCTGTGAAATCATACGAATATGCTCTTGATGCGATCTCTAAAGTAGGAGCATATACATCAACTACTTTCATGATTGAGGAAGTGCAAAAATATCATGAGGAATCTACTCCTTACCGAATTCTTGAATTTAGATATAATAATTCTAGAAATCTGTCTCCAAATGGTCAATACCAGAGCAATCAGAAAGGGCTAAACTTTGTTTCAAATTTAGTTAAAACCCATGTGAAAAGAGGACTAGAATACACAGAGAGGGTGATCTATGACAACCCTTCAAAATACAGAGATCAAGAATACGAGATTATATCAGAGCATAGTATTCAAATCTATGTGTCAATAAAATAGCGATCTTCAATTTGAAGCTTACCTCTCAATATGTAAGACGACATTCATCCTCATTGTCATAATGGTCAGCGCCCTCCTGATCTCCAAGGATGCCACTGCTCTCGTGTTACAGCCGTTAGAGTCAATCATGCTTAAAGTGAGTGAGATGGCAGAGGATCCGTTCCAGATCCTTAAATTCTCAGAAATCGAAGCAGAGGTCAAGAAAGGGGACGCAAAAAGTAAAGTTATGTATGAAACAATGATACTTGACAGTGCCATCACCAAGATTGGCGCTCTCCTCCTCCTTGGCTTTGGAGAAGCAGGCACATCCCTCCTTAGTGACATGATCGGTAAGGAAGGAGACATTGATTCTCATGCTAAAGGGAACAAGACCGTTGGAATCTTCGGATTTTGAGACATTAGACAGTTTACTGACACTACAGAAATTTTACAAGAAGAGGTCATGGTGTTTGTAAATAAAATTGCAGAGATTGTTCACAGTGAAACTCATGAATACCTTGGAGATCCCAACAAGAACATCGGAGATGCTTTCCTATTGGTCTGGAAATTCCCTCAAAATGAACTCTATGCTGATCTTGATGGAGAAATTAGTTTTAGCAAGCATTCGTATTTGATCAACAATTATGCTGAAGCTGCTTTGATTTCCATTCTTAAAATAATTTATCGGATGAGAAAAGATAAAAGAGTGGTAGCTTATTCAGAACTTCAAAAATTAACTGATAAAATTCCTGATTATAAGGTAAAGATGGGCTTTGGGCTTCATACTGGATGGTGAATAGAAGGAGCTATAGGCTCTTCCTATAAAATTGATGCTACTTATCTGTCTCATCATGTGAATTATGCCTCTTCACTGGAGGAAAAGACCAAAATGTATGGAGTACTACTAGCCATATCACACGAATTCATTGAAGCATGCTCTTCCAATGCTAAATAAGTACTTCAGACAAATTGATGCTTACAAAGAAAAAGATTCAAAAGACACTAAAAAGATATACACAATCAACATAGAGTCAAGCTTTCTTCTCCCAGACGAAAATACACAGATCCTCACTGGCAAAGAGAACTACAGAGAGAAAGTCAATAACAGACTCGACAACTTAGTCCAGACTAAAGATCCTAACTTCAGGATGATTTCTCTTATGAAGCTAGATCCAGAGCTCAAAATAATGACAAAATAACGTTCCCAAAAAGCTAATTTCATATTACAAAAAGGTATTCGAGTTGTACTCGAAAGGAGACTGGATTCGAGCGAAAAATGGGTTGAACAAAATTCTAAAAAGGTGACAAGATGGGCCATCAATTTTCCTGTTATCAATAATGAAACGGTACGATTATATCCCTCCTAAGAAGTGGAATGGAGTGAGGCATATTAATTAACGATAATATTAATTTATATCTCGGGGTTTTGGGGTTTTGGGGTTTTGGGGTTTTGGGG